TAACCAAGGAGACATGGACAGGGGATTGCTGTGTGCTTGATGTGGAAATGAAGATACTTGACTAGCCTCACACTAATTATGTGAAGTTTTGCCCCTCTTTTAATCCTGTTAATTTTGACTGTATAAATCAAGGGGTTTGAACCTTGTATGGCATTCACATTTTCTGAGTGCATTTAGCAGAGCAGCTTTGCTAATAAACAGAGCGGTCTGGCAAATCTGAGAGTCCTGTCTGACTTTGACACTGCGTACAGATGTGGTCTCCTCAGCTCAGAAAAAAAAAAAGAGAAGATATTTTGGCATTAGAAAAGGGCAACTAAAATGATTAGGGGTTTGGAACGGGTCCCATATGAGGAGCTATTAAAGAGACTGGGACTTTTCAGCTTGGAAAAGAAGAGACTAAATGGGGATATGATAGAGGTCTATAAAATCATGAGTGGTGTGGAGAGGGCCGATAAAGAAAAGTTATTTATTATTCCCTAAATAAAAGACCTAGAGGACACCAAATGAAATTAATGGGTAGCAGGTTTAAAACTAATAAAAGAAAGTTCTTCTTCACACAGCGTGTAGTCAACCTGTGGAACTCCTTGCCAGAGGAGGCTGTGAAGGCTAGGACTATAATAGAGTTTAAAGAGAAGCTGGATAAATTCATGGAGGTTAGGTCCATAAAAGGCTATTAGCCAGGGGATAAAATGGTGTCCTTGGCCTCTGTTTGTCAGAGGCTGGAGAGGGATGGCAGGAGACAAAGCGCTTGATCATTATCTTCGGTCCACCCTCTCTGGGGCACCTGGTGCTGGCCACTTTCGGTAGACAGGATACTGGGCTAGATGGACCTTTGGTCTGACCCAGTACGGCCATTCTTATGTTCTTATGTTATGTTCTTATGTTCTTATCCAGTGTAATTTGAATATTCTTATTATACATATACATGTCTGATCCTTTTCTGAATCTATCCAAACAATTGGACCCTAATTACAAGTTTATGGCAATAATTTATGGCATAATTGACTATGTGCTGTCTTAGAAGTATTTCTTCTTTCAGTTTTAAATGTGCTCATTTCAATTGCATTGATTTTCCCTTTATTCTCATATTAGTAAAAAAAGGAAAGGGATTGTCTGACTGACTTTCTCTATATATTTCATTGTTTTATATACCTATTGCATGTTCCCTCTTATTTGTCTCCTTTCTAAATTGAACAATCTTATACTTTTCACTCACTCTTGATATGTATATGTAAGTCTGTCTGTGCATCTAATTTTTTTTTTTTTTTTGCTTACCTTTAGACCTCTTAAATTTCAACTTTTAAAAATGTAAATTGTGGTATAATATGTCTGTGAAAATGAGACAAATATTATAGGTGACTTGGTATGTATAAAATAGTATTAAGCCTAACATTTCATCCAAAACTCCAATTTAACACGTATTTTCAGTTTAAAAATGTGGTTCCAAGAATAATAAAGTTGGGGCATGTCTAAATTTCATTCTTGGTTGTATACCATATATTAAAAGAGGGATATTTTTTCTGGTATTACTCATAGTGCCAAAAGCAGGATATATTGTAAAACTACTACAATTTCTAGCCCGCTTTCAGGACTGAAGATGTCCTTAGAGTCACTATATCTGAAGTTCACCCATTGTGTTTAAATGAGATGAGATCCAAAAGCCTGTTCCAGTGAGGTCTACGTGCCATATTAGCTAATATTACTTGTGCTGAATCGAAAGGATGAAGAAGAATCCATGAACTCTGTGTATGTGTTGTGGAAAAGTCTTGTATAAAGAGATCACAACCTTACAAGACATGAATGGAACGATAATCATCTCTGAACTTTGGCCACCTTTTAGTTTTAGAAATAGTTGCATCTTGAAAATGCCATAGCCTTGTTTGAAATGAGCAGCATATACAATATACGTCAGTTAGGGGCGATGGGACATACAAGCAGGACAATGGAAGGAAGTTCTAATTGCTTCTTTAGGTGCAAACAATATGGGACTTTAGAGGCGTATTTCAGATTTGCAAGAAAAAACACATCTGCATTTCAAATCATTTTTGTTAGGGAGGAAACAACCACCAAACATATAGCCACAAGACTTACAATTATAAATCATACTGTCACTAAGATTCCCCAATCCCAAGAAGTGAGCATGTGACCTGGAGCATCTAATTACAATACAATAAGAGGTATAGTATTTCATGGGCATACTACACTCTAATCTCAGAGGTGTAGCCATGCTAATCTGTATCTGCCAAAACAATGAGGAGTCCTGTGTCACCCTGCAGACTAACAGATCTATTAGGGCACAAGCTTTTGTGGGTAAAACACACATCATCAGATGAGTTGGAGTGGAAATTACAGAGGCAGGGTAGGACCGTTGTTAATGAGGCTAAGTCAGGGTGGATGTGGCTCATTCACAGCAGTTAATGGGGAGAGGTGAGTAGCAAGAAAGGGGAAACTGCTGCTAAGTACTGTATAGTCAGCAAATAAATATAGATAATGATATTGCATTGTATATTTTTGTCAGATTGCAATGCAGTACATTGAAGACATACAGTTTGTGGAAATGTCATTAATTTAGATTTGCTGGTAATAAATTTTCAAAAGAACCTTAATAACACTTATTAACAACATCTCAAAAGCTGCTTGTAGAGGCAGAACTCATTAAAATACACATGAAAGAATATCACATATAATTTCTCTCATTTTGCTTGGGCTCAGCTGCATTATATTAACCTTAAGTCCTGTTGGAATGATAAATACTACATTGCAAGAAAGTGATATATAGCATTTATTCTGTGTCATTAATCTCAAAGAGCTATACAAACTCTATGGGTAAGAGCATACGCTGATACAAATTCTCATCACTCCATTGAATTGCTCCTTTGAAATCAATGGAGCTATGGCAGTTTGTATCAGCTTACTAGCTGCCCTAAAAAAAAGAGTTGTATCCATTCATCCAGACCTATATACCCCTCCTATTGAATCCACCAGCACAATGCAGCCATTCCCAGATATAGAAAATACAAACAAATCAAACAAGAGTTTAGGCAAATTAAAGAAAAAATATATTTATCTGAAACAGTAGTGGGAATGTGGATGCTAGTGTTAAATGCCTTCTAGTGAGCTGTATGGGTTCTATCCAATTTTTAAGAATGAACATGTACAACTACAAACAATGTAAAGAAACAAAAATACTTGATTTAGCTGGGAACGAGGGACAGGGAATGGATTCTGTTCTGTTCTGTTCATTCCTTCTGGGGCACCTGGCATTGACCACTGCGAGAAGACAGGATTCTGG